TTAATTATAGAACCAGTATCATATGCTACTCGGTTGCCAGTAGAGATCTTTCCTGGGAGATACGACCTCCTACTATTTAAAAAAAGGCATTCGTCAAAGGCCGGCAACCCATCCAGCCTTTATACCTAATAGATGTCCATGGGTTGCAGTAGCTGCATTATTGCTGTTCCGTACCCTCGTTTTACGCAAATAAATTAAAAACAATATTGGAATCCAAACCCACTTTCTAATGTGCTACCTGCATTGATACACTATTGTTCATTGTACATAAAGCATTATATTTCGTTTGACATATGTATATAAATTAAATAGAGGGCTAGTTTTTGTGTAACACATTGCGGCTGGCTGTGAGTCATTCACTCATGCATTATGCAATTCTAATATTGTCTAGCCAGTGCATATCGAATACCATACTTTAATAAAAATAGTCCTTTACCACTAAATTGAAATTGATTTGTACTTTGGATCTTAAACATAAGTAAAAATTTAATTTTTCTGCACAATTTGGCAGTTTTATAAAAAAAAAATTTTATAATTCTTTATTCATTTTATAAATGAATTAAAGTCTATCAGGGTAATGTACTGACTTAGCATACATTTTTAGATTCTATCTTCTTGTAGTAACATACAAGAATACGATTTATCGTGCATTTGCATTCTTCAGAATAAACGGAAAAGTAGTGGTTCGTCTTGTTCTAAATATGCCCACGGCGAACTCTCAAAATTTTCATACAAAAAAATAATTCTACATTGTTTAACTAAAAAATAATAATATTCTGCGGATGTTTTATATAACTAGTATACCTACTCTAATTATGTGATAATACAACCACTGGTTTCGTACATAAAATAAATCAGTAAATAAATCAATGGCGACAACCTTTTTAGGTCTGGGCCTCAGATTTCCGTATCTGTTTCATGATCGTTTGGTAATCTAATAGGCAAGTAGGTGATTAGCCTCCTGTGCCTGACGCACGCCGTTGACTTTTTCGGTCTAACGCAAGCCGCTTTCCTCACGATGTTTTCCTTTACCGTTCGAGTCTATTGGTGTACATCCGGGGATCGAATCTACGACCTAAGGGATGAGAGTCGCACGCTGAAGCCACTAGGCCAACTGCTCATACATAAGATACTTTATAAAATACTTGGCCTCCCTTATACATACATTTTGAATCGTAAAAGTAATACATTTAGTTAACAGACAATACTTCATAGCTGTAAAACGTTTCAGCAATAAACATTTAGTAGTCGACCTTATCTTGACGAATACCAACAGCCTATAACAATTATAACCCGAGACAATTACGTTCAGCTAAATCTGTGAACCACACCCTCCAGGGATCAGGGGGTGTGGGCGGAGGGGGGTAACGACGAGAGAACAGCTACGTTAGATGTTAACGTGTGTACATACGAAGGGGTGATCTATGTAGTTGTTTATGTGTCTTCGTGTAGGCTTTCAATGAAGTCGTTTTGAGAGGGAAAATTCCGATGTTCTTTTGTCGCTTTTAAATAATTGTTTTAACGCATAGGTAACTGTTTAATAAAAACTATAAAACCTAGTGTAAATTTACAATAAACATGTTGCGTTCAATATATATCTAAAAATACCAAATCAAAATCAGTTTTTTGATGTTAAAAACAGTTTTAATTTAATTGAACATTAATCTCTTTCTATCAAATTGTGTTTAGGCTGCGATAGAGATACTAGTCGAAACTTAAGGTTTTAATGTGGACAAAGTGTTACGATAAACTTAAAGCATTCAAGCAGCAGTACTTGCCTTCCATTTGACCACATAAATCCTCATATGTATAGATATACTAATATGTCAAAATGATCACAATACTATACATTTGAAATCATAGAATCATATTACACTTTTACTATACAAACTGTGAAATCATGGCTGGGTTATTATAGACATTTGATCCTAATGTACGGGAAATATGTACTAAAATATCTTACATCATTAAGTATAAAGCAGTATTGTTACTTATAGAACGATTTCTAAACGCAACCTCACAAGACATAGACATCGTGTAAGACGATAACAAGACGTGTTTTAGGGGGGAGTGTTGTCAACACACAATCTGCTCGGAGGGGGGTGCGGTTGCTCACTTCCAATTGTCTAAAAGGGTTCCACTTCTGCGGCTTTTAGTATAAGATCTGTTTTAACTGCAACCCTTGCTTTTAAATAAATGCTATTAGATAGTGCATGAGAGGGTATATTACTGCATCTGTATCGTTACTTACTTCTCAAGTAATAGAATGTTTGTTTTAAAGCCAACGCTCGGCACACTGATACATTGGTATATAAAGAACAATAAAATAGAAAATTTAATGTGACGACCGCTTATAGGCAAACACAAGAAGAAAAAGTAATACATCATAAATTATAAAAACTAAAGGATTATTGATTTCAAAGTGTAAGGGGAGCAACTGTGGATATCCAGACGTTTATCAGAATCAATCTGGATATCGGTGAGTTTTGGCCAAAACGCGTTCTTTTGAAAGGAGAGACAAATGGGATGCCTAGGGTATCTAGAGGATACAAGAAGGTTGGGGCAATCAACCTGATTCATAAATATCTTAAAGGCAAATGATATATCAATAAATTTTCTACGATTTTAATATAAATTTGACTGAATTGCATTTTTGACACAATATTTTTTGTATTAACCAAACTATTTATAAGTAGGTAATTTGTACCTAGTTGGTACGAACTATAGTTCTTAAATCTTGAACAAAAACCGTTATAAATAAAAACAAAATAACAATAAAATTCTTCATAATTTTTTTCGTTTAAAATGTGTTTAATTTTGTATCGAGTTAAATTATAAGTAACGTATATTCGTAAACTCAGATAAATCAATTTATATTTTGAGGTTATTGCAAACTATTATTGTATAACGAATAGCTTAGCTAGTAAAATACAAAGCCTAGATAACAATAAATAAAACATAAGCACGTAAATCTCATAAAATTTATGTAGTAATAAAACATATTAATATTAATATTAGGAGAACGGTACAGTTTCTCAGGAACCATTCATATTATTCAAATATATGCTGCCAAAAGGGGTAGGTATTTTCAATGATTATGCAGTAATTTAAGAGCAGTATTGGTCAAGTGTGTTCAGCGTGCGACTCTCATCCCTGAGGTCATAGGTTTGATCCCCGGATGTGCACCAATAGACTCGAACGTTGAAAGAAAACATCGTGAGGAAAGCGGCTTGCTTTAGACCCAAAAAGTCAACGGCGTGCGCCAGGCTCAGAAGGCTGATCACGTACTTGCCTATTAGATTGACAAATGATCATGAAACAGATACAGAAATCTGAAACCTAAAAGATTGTAGCGCCACTAATTTATTTATTTTATGCAGTACCTAATTATATGTTCAAGAACCTTTCTATGTCATCAAATAAAGGCTTAATGTAAAATAGAATATTTTTGAACTACCATTTTGTTAAGAACTCGCAATATAGTAGACTTAGAATTAAATTGTAAGGTAAGTAAGTATAATAATTGGAGAAGAGTTATGATAACCTCAAAAATTATTATCCACGCTGCAGTTGAAAATATCACTTGCAATTACTAAATGATCAACAATCATTTAGTAAGTAAAACCAAATTTTTACTAACAAGAAGATTGTTTCCTCTCTAGAAACTTAAGTAACCATTAGATACAATAAATTCGAAAATTCAACAATATTTTTGTAACATTTATCGTAAATTAGTTCGTATCGAACTCGCGATATTTTAAAAATCATTCCTAATTCATTTCATTCAAAAATCATTCATTTCACTAGCAACACAATATTTTCATAACACAATTATCCGCTCCAATTCCACAGATAAAAAATAAAAGCCGCTGCTGCATTAGAACAATCGCCCCAGCGACCATTATTTTCATTTTTCCTCTGTTTCCTCCTCCCTCCCCCCGCTCCGCGTTCTCCCCCATCCCCCGGGAGTCGCGCTTCATCAAAACATTTATACGCGATGAAAAATATCACAATTGAATAGGATGGCTTTTTTGTTTTTGCCCGCGACGCTTTTATTGTGGTTTTATGGTGCTCCCGTATTATTCCGAGGATGTTTTGACACTCGACTTGAATTATTAGTTTTTATACTGACTTGGATCTCTCTGCTAGATATGATATCTTGAGTCTAAGCGATTTACAAAGTTTGGATATGATTTTTGTTTTATTGCGTATTTTTGTCGCTAATATACACATTAGTCTTGATATATCCGATATTCTTAAACTCCCTTATTGATAAATACTAAAACAGTCTAATTGCTCTTATTTAAGTAAAGTTTCGTCTCCTTCTGTCAAATTGTGTTTACGCTGTGTTGTAAAGAGTCAGAGAAAATTACTTAAGTTAAGAGTGCAATAATACTTTTAGTAGGTACTTATTCATGAATAAGGAGGCTTTGTGACGATATATTAAATAATATACTAGCAGACCGGCCAAGCGTTGCTATGGCTACGGTTTTTGTTATATTACATCTTCTTCTTCTTCTTTTAGTGCCTCTCCATTACTGGAGGTTGGCCGTCAGTATCTTGAAGCGTGTTATATTACATAGTAGTAAACTATTCAAGGGAAACGGTAGGAGAACACCAGTCTTGGAGATCACCATGCTTTTTTTGGTGGTAATGCCATTAAATTGTAGCTTATTTGAAACGTTGGTACTTTCAACACGCGTCATCTGTTAGAATTGTGACTATCAAATAATTAACAAATAATTTGCAATAAAATAATATTGCGGGTATAAATTGAGATGTAAGCTATTCTATCTTTTAAGTTAGATCAAACTACACATGGTGTGCAAATTTGATTGATATCGGTTTTGTAGTTTAGGAGTCCATAGCGGACAAACAACGTGACACGTAATTTATATATATTAAGATTGATAACGAATTTGTTATATTTATTGCATAGTAGTGTTATTTAATCGTAATTTTATTATGTTATAATTACCAAATATCTAATATTGTTGTAGTGAGCAACGGTGCGCTAAGCGCCTGCGCAGGGCAGGGCGGTATGGACAAGGACGGAAAGAAGAAACACACGCGGCCCACTTTTAGTGGACAGCAGATATTCGCTTTGGAGAAGACTTTCGAGCAGACCAAATACTTAGCTGGCCCTGAGAGGGCAAAGCTTGCGTATGCGCTTGGCATGACAGAATCACAGGTTAAGGTAAGATCTCCTTTTATTCTTAATAGTTGATGCCCATATACTCTCAAGTCAGGGAAAATATCTTGCGGTTGCTTGCTTCAGAAGGCCTATAGGGATGTTATCACTTGACCCTAGTTCATAGTTCTAGGAATTAAATTTTGCTCCAAATCATCGTCAAAATTATTTCATTGTCATACCTATTTATCTAAAATTGAATCGATTAAAATATCATATAATAATTGTGTACATGCCACATTTTGGTTGACTTACTTTTATAGAAGCAATATTCTAAATCTACGGGGACCCAAGTATTTCATAGCACTAATAGCAATTAGCATTCTATATTATACACAGGTGATAATAAACGTATTTTATATTATTATAACAGCCTCCGTACAAGTTGCATACTATTTTAGTGAGGTTAATTTTTTGAAATGTAATGAAGATAATTTGTATAACGCTTGCTTGTCAAGGCTATATCTTTATTTGTATATATATAATCAGTATAATAATCGCAGTAAGAGCCAACTATTACTGCCATACAACTGTACATTAACTAACGGCTAAATAGGGTAAACGGCGCAAATATGCGACACTCGCCCCGCGTGACTATTTCAATGACCAAATTTACCATATGTCAAGTGGAAGTAGTCTATTATGGACCCAATGGCTACTAGATAAGGATCATATTGGCGTGTACACGTATAATGAACCGTGTTGTCCGTTGGTAATCGGATTAGGGAGATTGAAAAGTCAATCACTTAGTCGCGGCGCAATCAAACGTTTCGCTTTATGCCTGTGGATTAATTCGAATGACATGTGGATACTTCGTACTATTTCTAAATCACTATCTGCTAATAGATACATTATACTTTTGTACTAGGATAGTAGATTCCTAAAAGGATTTAAGGTTGTGAAACGGCGTGATAAGGGATAATTTTCAAGTAGGATTGATGGGAAATTTTTGCGAAGCCAATAGATTTGTTATTTTGTCCCACAGATTTGTTTCATAGTAAGCACAGAAAGCCTTATTTGCCTTACAAAAGGCAATAAAACATGCAATCTGTGTAAAGCAACTTCAAACAACCAATTTGTCGAAGGTAAAAGGATAGTTTCCCTAACAAATACATCTAAGATTTGTTTTGATATCAGTATCTTAAAAGATATCATGCTACATTTAGCAGAACAAAGCCGATGACGTCCGTCCCCTCGCGTCTCAACTGTCTCAACTCGTAGATCATTGCGCATAGTTAGCGTTTAATTCCGAGGGTCCAAATTGTATTATACTAAGTGATATATTCTATTTAGGGGCACCACTCTGAGGGCCGGAATGTGTTGCAACAAACGAATTTGTTTGCATTCTTTTACTAATAAGAAGGAAGGAAGGTTAATAGGCCTGTTCTGGTTAATGAACATAAAATAATCCTTCGTTGTTGTCTTATACAGCGAAAGTCTATTGGAGTAGATTATTAATAAAACTGTGTTAATAAAGATACTACTAAATACTTTTTAAATATTCAATATTTCAGATTTTGAATGTAATTTTAATAAAAGAAATATCGCATACTTTCTAATATTGTAGTAATATCGCCGAGGGTGGAGGGTAGTGAGAGAAGTCAAGTGTATATAATAAGATTAATGTAAGTAATGTATCGTATATTCTCATTCTACGCGTTCACTGATTTCGTTGAGTCATTCTATTAATATTTGTTTGATATTTCATATAGGGATGTTTGGAGAATACAACATCATTAATTTAAAACTAACGTTATTTTTCTTTTGTTTATAAATAAAATGTGATAAAAAGCAACGAACATGAATATAAAGATATGTAATAAGTTTAAAAGACATTTCTGATCGTGATAAGTGTTAATCATAACAGTTTACACTCAGTAATAAGTAGAGCATACCATACCATAATCCTTCACACCGCTGCGTCCAACAAATGAGACCTCTCATTCGCTAATTGTGCTCAAAAGCCAACCAACGAAGGGTGCATTTACCCTACATAAACTGGACACTCGATTTTTAACTCTATCAAATCGCAGCAAGGCTTAAATTCGCGTGTACCTTTTTTATGAATTTTTCTCTGATGGGTGTCATAGCTCATTTGGCATTCAATAAAGCTAATCCGTGTGGAAGATTAAAGAGGGCGCGTATTTACACATGTGCTGCTCACGCGGTGCATAATGTAATTAATTTCGATGCTTTTATTTTGAATAATACGAATAGTAACATTAAAATTACGTGCAAATTCTATAACTTTGTGTCTACATTTAAATGGTATCTATACATGTATTTGTTTAACTTATAATGTAAATAAACGGGCACCTAAGAAACTAGCTAAACCATAAAGACAAGAAGATTTTAATTAGTTTTAAAGAATTCATCAAAAATTAATTAAAAAATTGCCAGAATTCCCATCACGCGTATTAATTTACACGATTATAAGTTAAATAGAATAATTAACTGAGATAGACCTTATAACGTAAATTTCCTTAGGTGTTCGTTTTTTGCAACAGAGTTTTTATTAAGGCTAAAAATACAATGATTGCGTAACAATAGATGGGATATAGCATAGACATTGATTATCACAGACCAGATTACTTTCTTATACAGTTTATGTGAATTGATTAGGCATGCGTTCAAAACTGATGAATGTTTCTTTCTGAGTGAAAAATGAAAAAAAAATTGACTCGAAAATACCTACCTACTTTTAATTATAATAACCAAAAAATCACATTAAAAAAAATTTTGGGTTCAGAAACGAGACTGAGTGCCAAGTGTGACTCTCTTCTGTCAAAAACGTATTGGATGTTGCCATATGACAGGCATAGTTCTCACTAATATCTGTATTTCGAAAAATATTTTACAACTTTATTTAAAATGTTGGTCTCCTCAAATAGGTCCATCGTGAAATCTACCCACACAAACAAACATGCCAAAGTTATAAAATCTAATCTAGGTTGGTGGTAGTGTGATTTAACAATAAAAACGTCATAAATCACGTTATAATGCTATATTAAATAATAGATAAGTTAGGGCCGATTTCACAACTGATTTTAGGAATATATTATTAAAGCATTTATTCAATAAAAACATGTGTAACTGAAATTCTCTATACATGCTTTTATTTAATTATTTTAAAATAAGTAAGATAGAAACGAAAAGTTTATACAAAAATAATGACTTTAATGCAATAAAAATTAAATATACATTTTATAGTTTGTCAAGGAAAACCGGTCAATATTGTTAAGTTATCAATTTAACATAAAAAATTCATGAAATTGGATAATTAGCAATTTAATAAAATTGAAGATCCCGTACTGCATTTGGACACGGCTCTAATAGCCAATAAACAGTAAAAGCATCATTAAAAATTAATCTCCAGTGGGAAGCAAATCTCTGTTTTATCTGTATAACTGTTGTTAAACACTGATTTGCATATAAAATAAGCAAGAACGAAATGGTATAATTATTGATTGCGTAACGTTGAAGATACCTACACATGTTCTAAACATATTGTGTTGCTAGTCTAGATTTCGAGTCGAGAAAACATTTTAAACTCCTTATAATATCAGTCTAACAGCAGAAACTCTTTTGTTCCTTTCTCTCAAATTGTGCTTACTCTATGATGAAATGAGACAGAGTACTTTATATATTTTTATGAATAGGGTAAGACAATTATTCTAATAAGTACAAGAGTTATTTCTAAGTAACTGGTTGTGTTCCTGCTCCATTGCGTTATTACATTGTGACGCCAGAAATAACGCCAAAAAACAAATGAATAACGAATTTTTCTAACATCTCAAAATAAATCGTGGAATCGCCAGTCGCAAATATGAAACATGATTAAACAAATTTAAAATTTCTGTAAACAACCTTTTTTATCAATTCCATGAGAAATGTATGAATTGAATATCTGTATGTAATCCCATGACATTAAATATTTTTATGAACAGTAAATCTTATTTCGTGTCAAATCAATTATGAATAATATAATTCAAAATATTATCTTATGAACGGCTATTAGTAACAACAGAGCAGTTAAAATGGAGATAAGGATGGATGCAGGGTGCATTAAACGGTACCCCATACTCAGGGCTGTCAATCATAACAAGGGGTGAAGAAGAAAAGCGTTTTACATTTAGTCTGGTTAAATATTAATTCACGTGATTCATGATTAATCTTTTACAACGGCTCATTCCTTTTCTCTTTTGGATGAATTTTACACTTTAATGGTGGATGCAGTAATACTAACAGTTTCATTTCATTGGGTAATGGCCCAAGTAATTTGTATTAAAAGAGAACATAAATGGAATATAATTTTAGTTTCTAGATGGTTTAAAAAAATTTTTTTTAGTTCCTTTGTATTATATGCTATAATTATTTGCTCTGGCAAGGCAAAAATTTTTGTTTGGCGAAAGAAACAATTGGATACGTTAATACTCACGATGTCGTGCATTATAATTTATACACCACTATTACTAACGAGTTATTACTATTATTTTTTTTAAATATACACTCAGATACAAATAAATTGGACCAATTTTAAAGAGATCGCTGTTGGCAACCCTAACCAGAAGGGACTAGAGGGGGCAAAATTAAATTATTCTGATGGATCACACTATAATTTAATTTTAATGTGTTTTGATAAAACGTCCGTGAATACACAATCGCGTCACTTTAGACTATAAACCCGATTCGAAATTAATTGCTCTTTTTAATTTTTTGTGACGCAGCCATTTTATTGATTGATGGCAACACTATTATGGACTTATCATTAATAACTCTATGATTTGGCAATTTTGTTATAGCACTTGTTCTTAATCTTTCAACTTCCGCGTTACGTTAGCTTAATTCATATTTAAGTGAATTGGTAGTTACTAGCCGTGGTTCCATTTGAAACCATTAGAGTAGGTACACCCTAGAGATTGTCAGTAGACTTTTGCATACAAAAGAAAAAGTCTACTGACAAACTCTATTTGAATATGGTGAGTGGGTGAAAGATAAGACTTATTACATATAGGCCCTATATTTCTACTAACCCCCATTTTAAATAGCGTTATTGGTACTGTTATTTATATGAATAGACAACGAATATCTTTTTTCGGCCATACAATGCGCAGATGCGATAAGAGCTTGCAGAAACTGATCGTGGTATCACAGAAGGCAAAAGATCACGTGGCCGTTCACCAACCAGATGGACGGATCAAGTGAAAGACTCATCCGATCACTCAAACCGACCCCGTACCTTTATATTATTCGAATTTTTTTAAAGTACCTACATAAACTTTTATTTCAAAATTATATTTTGTAGGCTTCATGTATTACGAAAATCAAAACAGTTAAATTATACTCATTAAAATGCATTAGTAAAAATAAATTACGAGTATAACCGTTCCAGAAATCTTTATTTACACGTTACCTTTAATATGCATATATAAAACAGGTTCCATAGGATATTGGCCAACGGGCGGCCATAATTATCGTTTATAATAGATTTCTTTTATGCAACCCTAAAATGGAAAAATAAAAAATAAAATGGAAGAATTATACAATATTAAACTAAAATAATAAAAAAAGTTAAAGCTAATAGTAGTTAATTAGTTAGAAGAGAAATGTTCAAAAAGAAGATTCTTAGGTGAATCCTGCGCTCGTCTCATTTCAAGAGATAAGGAATTCAGAAGCAAAATACTTTGCACAGTAGAGGAGTGATAAAATTCAATCTTCATATATACATACATAAATCAAAACAGTATTAATATCGACAGAGGACTGCAGAGGGTGGGATGATTAGAAATATATGTAAAGGAGACGTGTGTTCCGTTTGTTAGACAGGTGTGAGGTTATCTAGTTTATATAGCCTTAGTTTATTAGAAATATTATTCGCTTTTTACCAATTTAGGTTAGGCTACTCATTACTCACTAATGTACCGCGCTAAGTCTTCTTTTCATATAATCCTAGGTGACCCGGCAAATGTTGTGTTGCCATGTATATTATTTCTGGGAAACATTATTTTAGTTAAATAAAAATAACTATCTACTTTTCTAAAAAATAGAGGTTGATCATAGAGGGGTGATTGTTGTATATATTAATAATTTAATGCCACATAATAAAAAAAATAAAAATATTTTTTTTTTTGAGGTGGACACCATTGTAACGAAAAACCCTAAGTGATGGGCACTTAGGGTTTTAAAAGATAGATAGAAGCCGATTATCAGATTTACTGAATATGCACACAAAATT